CTAGGGCTCCCGGGGGATGGGGTAAAATGAAACGAACATATAAAAATGAACAGATATGGGCCAATTTCATTGTTCGATGTAAATCAGGTGCTCGGAGAGAGTTATCCAGCGGTTTGATTGGTTGTTCATTTTTCGGGGGGAGACTTCAACTGGGGGGATGATGTTAACCGAAGAATTAATTGCAAGCTGCCTTATGCCAATTAATTATAATTTAAGTTGATCCTGATTTGTTTTTTTAGGAAGCGCACAAGGACTGCTGCGTCTAACACCAGAGGGAACTCAAATGTTTTACCAAATGAATAGTGGTGATAAATCGGCTTTTTTTGCATCATTGAAAAATGAACTTTCACAGTTTATTCCTGTGAAATTAGAAAGATTAAATTTGATTAAAGGGTTTCAAGTTGCGAATCGTGGAACATCTTTTGCTGAACAAGTTCAATTTTTGCTTACAATCAGTGATTCTGATGACAATACTGAAAGAAGTGCACCTTTAATCATTCGAGATCTAGATTCATTGATAAAAAACAAAGATGTAACCATGATCTCTGCCGGTAACGTTACAAGATATTTAGATCAAAACTATGGATTTGTGGCAGTTGGTAAGAAAGTTATTTGTATTTATTATTAATTGTTAAATAAGGGAATTAAATCAGTTTAGAATTCGTTTCCGATCTGGATAAAAGTGTATTAAAATGTAATTGCAAATCATTTTTAGAGAATGCATGGGATAGATACAGCGCACAAATAGTAGCCGGAATTGTGATTTTTATAATGTTCAATTTATTGTTTCGCATACTTAGTTATAAGGTAAATTTATTTTAACAAACATTTTGAGGAGCTTTTATCATGACATTAATAAAACTTTTTGCTTTAAAAAGTTAAAATCAAAAAAATTTGATGCATTAAGTTTTGGTGCATTAAGACTTGGAGTAATCATCCCTAATTTTATTTTTTCGGTTCTTTTTGCTGCTTACCATTCTACTGATTTACCGGAACTTTACTTGCCAAGGTATTTATATTAAATAAATTTTTTATTTCTATTGGCGTACCAATGTTATATTAGTAACCTTTATTTTTAATTGTTTTAAAAAATCACAATTTAAAGCATACTTTGTCTGAGTGTTCCATTATTAATAAACCTTTTTATAGCAATCTATACTATTTATAAGGAAATTACAAATCATGTTATTGGTGAAATTTTCAAGAAATGGGTTATTGAATATCGAGGTTTAGTGGCTATTTTATTTATTTTAGCAACAACCGATTATGAATATTTGAAGATTTTGAAAGATATAATTATGTTTACTAAGAGAGTGTGCAGATATGAACAAATTAATATATTTAGTATATTTAAGCATATATTTGGGATTGCGATTATGTGGGGAGCGTTCTTTGACATTTTTTTAAGAAATATTCCACAGATCATTATTCAAGTGAGTAAATACTGGATATTATAATCGAATTAAGAGTGATGTGACCTCATATATATTAACGGTTTTCTTCGTTTTTTTTTTTTATTTAAATATTTAAATAGCTTTATTATTACAGATACATTAGATATAAAATAATTCCGCTCCTTTTGCTTGTTACGTCTTGCCTTAAGATTTTCATGACCATCTTTGATTATGTTAGTAAAAAGATAATTTGGACTATTAATCGGTAAGATTTAGTTTTGTTTTTAATACTACGTATAGCCAAATGTTATTCATAAATGTTATTTTGATCAAATAAATATATTAGGAGGTTAGCGTAAAATTTTATTCATAAAATTTGTTTTTCATCATTACCTCTGATCATGTTATTAAATTTATGATTGATATATATATTAAAGGGAGTAAGTATAAATATTCATTTACTTGATAATGAATCACATTTATAATAATTTATAATATTGGATTGTTAGTTTGTAGGTATAATTTTTTTATATATATAGAATAAACTCCTCAACATTTATCATCTAATATTACTTATTTAATCATGCAAAATAGCAAGTAAGCAGAAAAGTCCATCGATACTTTGCTAGTTTATAGAGTTATCATTCTATATTAATAAGCGGTTACTATTAATTTGAATATCATTGGTCAATTGAAAAGGTTCCTATGCTGTTAATATATTTTTACAAATATGATAGCTAAACGTAATGAAAGAACTAACAAGTTAATTATATTTCATAATAAAGATACGACTATTACGGAAAATGTAATAAATGTAAACAGCACTACGTTTCTCCAACCTGGTGTCAATTATGTGATCCTCAAGAAGCAACTCAAGGGTGGACTAGTGAAAATAAAAATATTGATGAATATATCAAAGGACTTCAAAAAGAAGTTACGGAATATGAAAAGATGATTGAATGGGTTCCATTTGATAAGCTGAAAAATTTGCAAAAGATTAGAGAAAAAGAATCAGAAATTATATTTATGGCTACCTGGCTAGATGGTATAAGAATGCTTAAAAGTGAACTTGTTATCCAGAACGATGCGGAAGATTATCAATGTATAGGTAAAGTGATGCGATTTGAAATTTGAATTTCTAGAATATATAAATATATATTTATATTTATAACATTACTACTTCGGACATATCACACACGCCTA